CTCGCTTGGCACGGCAGGGACGGAGGGAGGGGGCGGCGGGTCTGTCGGCCGGAGGCGCCTACCACTACCGGAGCTAATGGTAGATTCGGCACGGGGTATGTCCGAGGAGGAATTAGGCCGGTACACAAGGAAACGGCTCGTCGACCTCCTGCACGAACGTCGTGTTACTGCCAACCGGTGGGAACCTAAGCCCGATCTAGTGAGCAAGGTACTGCGCGCTGTCGCTCCTCCGGGGGGCGTGACACTGGCTGTCGGTGGTGAGGATGCACTCGTCGCGGGGGAAGGCACGGGCACCGCGGTTGCCGGTGTTCCTCGTGTCGAGGGCGCCGGCGGCATCGGATTGGCGGCGGGGGGGGTGCTGGGTTGCAAGGGGCCGGTCCTGCCGTGTCTGAGCTCGTCGCGGGCGAAAGCACGGGCGCCGTGGTTGCCGGTGTTCCTTGTGTCGAGGGCGCCGGCGGCATCGGATCGGCGGCGGGGGGGGGTGCTGGGTTGCAAGGGGCCGGTGCGGCCGTGTCTGAGCTCGTCGCGGGCGAAGGCACGGGCGCCGTGGTTGCCGGTGTTCCTTGTGTCGAGGGCGCCGGCGGCATCGGATCGGTGGCGGGGGGGGATGCTGGGTTGCAAGGGGCCGGTGCTGCCGTGTCTGAGCTCGTCGCGGGCGAAGGCACGGGCGCCGTGGTTGCCGGTGTTCCTTGTGTCGAGGGCGCCGGCGGCATCGGATCGGCGGCGGGGGGGGGTGCTGGGTTGCAAGGGGCCGGTGCTGCCGTGTCTGAGCTCGTCGCGGGCGAAGGCACGGGCGCCGTGGTTGCCGGTGTTCCTTGTGTCGAGGGCGCCGGCGGCATCGGATCGGCGGTGGGGGGGGGTGCTGGGTTGCAAGGGGCCGGTGCGGCCGTGTCTGAGCTCGTCGCGGGCGAAGGCACGGGCGCGGTGCTCGGCGGTGGGGATGCTGGATTGCAAGGGGGCGGTGCAGCTGGGTGTGTGGTCGGCGCGCCGATTGCAGCCGCGCCGTTGGCTGCGAACGGAAATTTACAGCTCCGTTCCGGGGGGTTGCATTTGTCCGCCGTACACCACGCTGCTATGCTCTTCCAGCAATCGCAAGTCAGCGCCCAAATGACGCAGTCGGAACGGGCTGTGGATAGGGAACCGCGGGGCAACGGTGTAGTAGTGGCGGGAGGCGGGGAGGGTAAAGTTTCAGACGAAGTCAACTTCCCATCCGAGGAGGAGGTAGCAGCTATGGAAGTGGTTGGAGACGAGAAAGACTTAGAGGCAGTCGAGGAGGGATTTGACGACGACTCACGTTCGCATGTGGGGGTGGAGGAAGCTGGTGAGTTTCCTCATGCAGCTAGAGTTTCGTTTGAGATGGACGGACAGAACAGCAAGGAAGCTGATGATTTGTTCCTCAATAGACCAATCATTCTTCCGGGTGAACGGCAGGGGGGTGAGGGGAACGAGGGTGACGATGAACCACACGGGCGGGGGCTGGAAGGGGGGGTCGAGGGTAGAGCAGAATTGAAACGGCTGCGTGGTCTGGCGGGTGGGAGCGAGGGGGGAAGAGAATCTGTAGGGAATATGGGAGCCTTGGAAGTAGACGAAGAAGATTCTTCCATGGGATTATTTCTTCCTGGGGCGTTTGATGACGAGTAGCGCGAAGCGTGATTGGGCGGGCTTGTGTAGAAGAGGCAATACCCGTTGCATGTTTGGGGGGGATGCGATGTTTATTTTTCATCATTGTTTGGCCATGAAGCAGGAAGGAGCGGCGTGTTTCAGTAGTTTGTTTTTTGGATGTGTTGTCCTAGATGCGCACTTGAGTTTGCTATCTCGGCAATTCTTCCCAGAACGTCCGTAGTACATGTAGGGCGGAAAAAACATGCAGGGGCATGCTCTGTGTTTATTTGAGCGCCCATTGCAATGCAGCGTAAAATTAAATAGTGTGCTTGGAGCTGCACACCAATTTCCTACTTGTATCCACGAGCACAGGGTAGTGTTTCTCATGTAAGTTTTATATCACTGCCTACGAGGCGGGGTTACTCTTCGAACTGTTGGGCGAAGATCCATTTATTTTCCTCTCCCTTTTCTCTTTTCCATCAGTTCATATTGATACACGAAATAAAAAAACATGAAATTTTTCAGCGAGGGTGTCTATCGGCCGGGTGGCTTCTCGTGAGCCGGTGGGTGGTAGGAAATCTCGTTCACCCTCCCACCCTTCATCACGGACGTCAGAAGAACTACGGCGTACAATCCAGTTGTCGGGGACCACAATACCAAAGCGATGTCCGTAAAAGTTATACCTGAAGCAGCAACGCACAAACGGCCCTCCGCTTCCAAAAAAAAGGTGCTGCACTTGGCGAACACGAAATCTCATCGAGGTCTACAAACATGCTGTTAACGTCAATGTCGTCACGATCTTATACTTAGAAGTATACTAGACAGTTCGCATGTGCCCACCAGGGGGATCACAAAACCTAACTAAGGTCGGGAAACATCTCAACGATTGAACGGACCGGTTTGCAAACTTTCTAGCTGGACGGCCGCATCCGGCGCCTTTGGGCAAACACAAAAAAAAACCTCAAGGGCATGACAGTGTCGACCGAAGTACATCTACAACGAACATGAAGATGCCGTATGTATGTTGCGACACATTTTACCGTGTAAAAAGAAGAACTCACACTACCTACATAACAGGATGACATCAAGCCGCTTATCACCTAACAAAGGCCGGCAAACATTTCCACCGTACAACGATAGGGGAGCAAACTATCTAGCACCCGGCCGCATCGTGCGCCTCAACACACAAATACACACGCACACAGCAAACCAGACCGAAGGTCATCCACATCTATATCCATCTACAATACCCTAACCGTAACCCTAAGATGCCATATGTCATGGCAATATGCTTCGAAACAAGATGACCCATCTAGACTATATTAAAACTAAAAATAGAACGAAGCGTCGATGACATTGGTAAACAGCTTGAGCATCAATCTGCGAAATCCCAACACGCCGAATGTCGACAAAAATCTGGATGTGTGTGGCAGTAGTCAGCAAACACAAAGAAAATAATCAGGACACAGGATATTTACAGGGGTGACCTCCAAAACTACGTACAGCAGTGAGCAGCATCGACAAGTTGTTTGCTCTCTCTGCGGGATGCTTTAGATATCCATGTACCTAGGGCACAGCACCTCCGCGGGCGTGTTTCTACACCACGCTCTAACCTCCTTCCCCGTCTCGACCTTCGTCACTGCCAATATGATCGCCTTCTTCTCGCTGTCGCCGTGTTCTTCGAAGTCGCCCCCTGACCTTGCGTTGGGGTTCCTGCTAGCATTCCTGCGCCTCTTGCCGTTCGTGGCTCGGCAAAGGTCCCCGACGGCCGAGCGTTTCTTCGCCTCTCGCGCCGTCGGATTCCTGTGTGTCCCCAGCGCCGCCCGGATATGCGAAAACCTGTGCTCGCAGATGTCCTGCGACGGGAAAAAATGGCAAAACATCGGGGCGGGGTAGTGCAGAAGTTTGGCACATCAGATGGGATACAGCAATATCGTGCACAATCCGGTGGCGGAAAGGGGGCCCTGTATACCCATGAGATAGACAACGCTTGCCGCCAAACCTATCCCCAAACAAGAAGCGAAAAAAATGGATACCAACCTGGCTGCAGTTTCGCGGACTCAAGAAGCGTCGGCAGTTGGGTGACAGGCTGTCGATCTGGAAACGCTCGGGGTCTTCGAAGAGGTAGCGGCACATGCTGACGAAGCCGAGAATGCTCAGGCGAAGATCGAACCAAGACTGGTGCGTGATGAAGTGCTTCTTCCAGCCAAGCTTGTCCCCTTCCCCCGAAGGGATGTGCTTCCGCTCGAGGGTGCTTTGCCAGTCGTCGAAGAACTCGAGGATCTCCAACAGCCGGTCCATGGGCGCGGATTCGAACGACCTGATGCACCCTACCATCTTCTTGCTCCCGTCCTTGCGGTCCACCTTACTCCGACCGTAGTTCCCTGGTGGACGTACGCGCATGGGTGGGTGCGGCCAAGAAATAAATGATGAGTGTCGACGTGTACAGCCTATTGGATCAAAGAAATCCACAAAACGGCAGCCAGACAAAACGTGGGCGGGCCACCCATGTGAGGGCAGGTCCTCTCTCTATCCTCGATCGTGATCCTACGTGCAACATCGTGGCTGAACACACCCAATTCCTTACCGTTGAAGATGTCCACGAAGTCGTTCATCTGGCGTGCAAGTGTCTGGTAGCACTCCGCTGCGCCGTTACGCCCGTTTGCCTCCATGTAGTCTGCAATAGCGTCGATGATCATGCCCGAGACCACCTGGACAACGCCATGCGAGAAGGGCGACAGCAAACGAGCCAAAATTGCGTCGTCGCTACGGCGTAGGCATCTGCCAGATGAAGAGGATCCTGCTGACAAACATGAGTTACGACGGCGCCACGCAAAACGGCAGAGTATTAAAACAAATGTTGGCCCAACCTCACCGACCAACAATCTGCACGTACACAAGTGTTTCATATTGTTGGACGCAAGCTCACGGAACAAATATCATGAGAGCTAGTAAGCGCAAGAGAAAAGAGAACGATGGAGAATTACAAAACAACAGGGNGTTGGACGCAAGCTCACGGAACAAATATCATGAGAGCTAGTAAGCGCAAAAGAAAAGAGAACGATGGAGAATTACAAGACAACAGGGTAGGGTACCGTAATTGGGCGCATCTTGAAGCAGATCGGGGTCTTGGCCCAGGGTTTCGGGGGAAAAAACGGGGTTCCAAGCGATATATTGTCTACCCAAGACCAAAATATGCAAGGGA